GCTGGGCAAGCCGGTCTCCACAGCCCGTCCGAGCGGCAGGGGCCACACCCGGGCAGACTTGCGGGACCAGAGTGATGCGCTCGAAAGCAGACGACAGGAAGCGTGAGAACAGCTAAGCCGCCCGCGTGACCGCCGTCCACCCACAGGGCCGTCCTCACCCGAGGACAGGATCTACGTGCGCCTTTTTCCTCAAAGTCCTAAAACTTAAGAGTTTGCACTAACTTTTCAAGGGAAAATCTTAAGAAAACGTTAAGAGGACAGACCTCCAGGAAACACACGGCAGGCGCCCTCCCCCACCCTCGCGCGCCCCGAGGTCCCGCCCTCGCGCCCGGGCTCTTACCGCGTCCTGGATGCAGACCTCCAGCCGCCCGTCCTGCACCACGTAGATGCTGGTGTCCGGCTCCCCCGGCCGGAACACATGCTCCCCTTCCAGCAGCTGCATGAAGACCATGTGCTTGCAGAGTTCCAGGAACAGCGGCTTCTCAAAGTGGCCCAGGACCCTGAGAGACCGAAGGGCACATGGCGCCTTCAGGGAGGGGGGACAGCCCGGGAAGAGGCTGAGGGGCCCCGGCCAGCGTCCCGCCCTCCCCTGCCGGACCCAGAGCGCCAGCTCCCCCGGGGCTGCAGCCTGGAGTCCCATCGGGACAGAAACCCCCTCAGCTGTTTTCAGCTCCAAGCTCCGTGGCGCCGGGACTCTGAACGTGAGCCACACCCATCGCCAAGGCCAGGTGAGGGGCACCTCCCGGCCAGGGAAGGGGCTAGAAGGGGAGGGAAGGGTCAGGGAGAGGCGTGGGGACCCGGACATGCGACTCCCGGCACGCATGTGAACACAACAGCAGGACGGGTAAGGAGGGCCTCCGACCACCAGGCAGAGGCGGCAGGAGGGAGGCTCCGCTGACACTCGGGGCCACAGAACAGCCCCGCACGCGGCTGCACGGCCCCTCACCGGACGTTCTTCAGCATGTACAGGACCTCCAGGGGCAGGTGCGAGTTCTTCACGTCGAACTCCGTGAGGTCGGCCTCCAGCAGGGAGGGCGGCGGCTCCTTGGGCTGCAGCGTTGGGTACTCCTTCTTGAAACGCAGGATCCTACAGAGCAGAGACGCGCCCTGAGCAGAGCCCGCAGCTGGGAGCTCAGCAGGGGCCCCTGGGGGAGCCCCCGTACCTCTTGGCCAAGGACAGCACCTTGGTCCTCTTCCTCACCCGCTGCCGGGGGGCGGCCGTGCTGCCCACAAGCGTGTGGGGGAGCGTGGTCACCTGCAGAGTGAACGGGGGGGCCACGTCACAACCCGAGACAGGCCAGACCCATGTCCCGGCCTGGGGGTCAGTCCCAGCCCGCAGCTCCTGCCCTCAGCCACCAGGACATGGGACCAACCTCGGTGCTCTGGACAGGGACCCCCACAGAGCGCCTGCGACCCCTCCCCCAGGAGGAGGCACGGCCACCTCCTCCCACAGCCTCTGGAGCCTGCCCTGCCGCCTCCCTCCAGCCCGTCTCTGCACCATCGCCCGGGGCTGGAAAGCCCTTCCCGTTTCCCCAGGGTCAGGCCAACAGGGCTGCCCCGGGCGGGCAGCG